TCTTTCTTTCTTTCTTTCTTTCTTTCTTTCTTTCTTTCTTTCTTTCTTTCTTTCTTTCTTTCTTTCTTTCTTTCTTTCTTTCTTTCTTTCTTTCTTTCCATAACAACTGTGCTTTCAGTATTTGCTGTGCCAGCTAGTCTCAATTGCTTCTCATGTATACCAGTACTATTTGTCCCAGGACTCTCTATGTGAAATTATACCATGTTCCACTCAAGGACTGACTCAAAGAACACATCTCCTTAATATCACTTTCTGTTCCCTAATGGCTTTCATTGCAAATACAAACATCTTCTCCTAACTTCAGATCTAACAATGTCAAGGAAAAACCAGAAGACTGCATAATTTTTAGCCAGCGTTTAAGATTACAAATCTGTACTACAGTCACCCTACCTGCATAAAAGGCAGGACCACATTTTTTTTAATATGATGCAGTTAGTGAAAAAGTGCTGCTAGCCTTTTATACAACATAGAGATCCAGGTGTAATAATTGATCCAAAAGCAGCACAAGATTTGCATATTAAATAGCGTCCTCATTGTTGATGGTAGTTAAGCACTTAATAATGGGGGTTTCTTTAGTTATTTCACTGCCTCAGTTTTTCCACCAACCCCTAATTATTGATCATTGCCAGATACTTTTGTAGCCCGTTCTAGTTCAGTATTTTGTATATAGTCACTAAACAGAGCCTGATGTGAGCTTTGTTTAAAACTTTGCACTCAAAGCCTCAATGTAGGCACTGATCTGAACACTATTCCTCTTAACACATAGTGTTGCATAAGGAATTAGACTGCTAAATGAGGGTTCCATGAAATATAGTCTGATTATAAGAATTGTATTACTCATCAGCCAGTTATAATGCAAAGAGTGGTGGTAACATATAATTTCCCTCTGGACTCTGAACCTTTTCTTCAGGCAGCCACAAGATCTTATTGCATATAACAGTCTTTTGTTTCCAGTTACTGCTTTCTAACAAGAAACAAACAAATAAGCTGATTAAGTTAACTTACTTCCAATAAACTTTCTACATAAAGAATCATTTCCAACTAATATTTCTTAAGCTACACCTGAGTAGAATACACATGCAGGTTAACTATCGAAGAGGCCAAATCTGTGTTAGTCTCATATCCTGTCCAAAACTTTGACAAAAATGCGTCCAGATAACCAGTGTGATCCACCAGAGTGCTTGAAGTTGCAGGACCACCATTTCTTAGTCAAAAATGATCCATTTGAGACTGGGAATAACTTTTGCAATTTAATTTCAGCTTTCCTAAAGGACTGCAAGATTTTCTGCTGAACACTTTCTGCAGGTTGCCCACACTGATCTGAGAGAGAACTGCCAGGAAAAAGACCTTGTCAGAAATTGTGTCTCAGTTATGTAATGCTCCTAACTCCAGAGGACTCAAAGTTGTACTCACTATTGTTTCAGAACCAGGCAAAGACCTTACTATTGCCCCAGGCCTTTCAAGTTTAATGTTAACCCAGCAATTTTGTTATTTTATTTTTTTTGCTTTGTTTTTTTTATTTTGCTTTGTTTTGATTTGGTTTATAAGGCTTTGCAGCTTTTTTATTATTACTCTGGTCCCTTGCTATCATGTTTGTTTGTTTTATCTGTATTTTAATTGTCTTTGTGCAATATCCATTTCAAATTACCATACTTATAAGAATAGTCATAGGAGTTGCTGCAATATAAAGGAGTTCAATTGTAAACCTGATCATGTGACTGCTTGTGCGACCGGTCATGTGAAAAGCCACATGAATGGGTGTGCAACTAGATTTATTTACATTGTGGCAGCTGCTTCCATTATTGCTCTTATGTGTGCAGTAATTTAGAGAGGATAATGCTCTTTCCATTGCTCATTTATCTTGAATAGAATTATATTTCATTATTTTCCATATATAATTTTAAAATTATATCCTGTAACCTAACCTTAGCAGAATCATTTACACTTGCATAAGTGAAGTCATATAAGTCAAAGGAGAAAATTACTGATAATTAACATAGTGCACACTGTGCTCCTGGGTGCAT